ATCGTCAAAGGGAAAATAAAATAACGCTCTTCTCACGGGTGTTGTCAACATCAAATTTAAACATATAGTGTACAAATGAGGAGAAACTAATCTCCAGTGCACTGCTGTGTCTCATCAGTGAGACTGACCTTAGCTTGAGTTTGCTGCAGTTCCTGCTCCATCTTATCCCTCTCTTCTCTCAGACTCTTGTTTGTCTCCAATAGGATGCTCATCGTTTCCGTCTTCTTCATCAGCTCATCGTGCTGAGCCAGGGTCTTCGCCGTCACCTGAAACAGAGTAAAGTGACAGATAAAGAAAATCCGTAGGCGATCTGCGTGCTCGGTACAGCCGCAAACCAGAAGTTACCGAGTCAACGAGTAAACAAACAAACCTGCATCCTCTCTCGAGCAGCACTCAAACTGTCCTGCACCTCCTTCAGCTCTCGTTCCAAATGCTCCACCCTCAAACGGTAACGCAAAGTCTCCCCTTGGGCGACCTCAAAACGAGACTCTGAGATCTCCTTCTCCCGACGTACAAACCTGTGATGAACAATGCGGATCAACCGTTCTTAGAAATAGTGAAATCATGACTGTGCCAGAACAGTCATGATTTGTGGGAGTCCTGCGGTGTAAGCTAGATAAGCCCGTTACCTGAGAATCTCAAGAAGCTGGTCCTGGGATTTTCCCTCTTCAGTCAAAGATATGTTGAGGGAACTTTCACTGGCAGCACGCTGCAAATTATCTGCCATCTTGCTGCTCATGGCCTGGATCTGCTCATGAAGGAGGGTGTTCTGCCTTTGCAGCTCCTCATAGCGGCTCTCCATCTTGGACATCTCCTCCTGTAAGACGAGTTAAGACGAATTAAAACCTATAATATATCTAACATAACATATCTAATCTATTTATGCAATGTAAAACAAACCTTGAGGATCTTCTCTTGCTCCTCCCATGACACTCTGGCCTCCAGTAGCTCAGCACTGATCCTCTGCTCTCTCTCCCCCAGCTGGTGTTTGAGCTCTGCAGCCTGCAGGACCTGGGCTTTAGCTGCCTGCAGGGCTTCCACGTCCGCTGCGTGCAGCATCATCTCCCGCTCATATTTATCTTGAGCTTCAGCTGCCAGTTTAACCTTGAAGAGCGAAAGAAGGTTTGGAGTCAGAGTTTCTCAACATTTTCTTTGAATTCATATTTAAATTTTTTCCCTCTCCCCACAAATTACTTCATATTTTTGATTTTTACCTGCATTAACCCTTTAAGACCTACCATAGAACCAAGTCCGCCAGAGCTTATATTATATGTTTACATGCTGTGGAGCCATTTTTGGGAGCATTTC